CGTTTTCTAAAAATTCAAAACGAGTGGGTCGTTTTTAAAAACGATCGTTTTTTTCTGAAAACGAAACGATCGTTTTTGAAAACGAAACAAAAAACGATCGTTTAAAGATCGTTAAACGATCGTTTAACGATCGTTTACAAAAACGATTAACAACCCTACTTGCAAGTTTTAAATGTACATGTCTACCAGGCTACAAAAAAAGTATAAGTAGGTTTGTGAGATAAAAAAGCCAAGCCGTTGCGACTTTTCTAAAGTGGTGACCCCAGACAACGAACCATGGCTGAAAACAGTTCAAGAATTAGACGAGGATGACAATCTCAAGCTTAAACTTCTTATCTACAAATTTACTATTCCTTCATCCTACAATCAGCTACTCCTGGAGTTAATAAACTAAACCTCACCTACTCCTGGAGCTAATAAGTTAAACCTCAGCTACTCCTGGAGCTAATAAGCTGAACCTAATCTACTCCTGGAGCTAATAAGCTGAACCTCAGCTACTCATTGATCTAATAAGTTAAACCTCAGCTACTCCTGGAGCTAATAAGCTAAACCTAGGCTACTCCTTGAGCTAATAAGCTAAACTTCAACCCTCCTGGAGCTAATCAGCTAAAGAGCTACTTCTGGAGCTATCAAGCAACTCAGCTACCATCTTTAACCTTCTCATAGATATTCTGAACGTCAGTTCTCTAAAGGTTGAAGATATGCCTTCATTTATACAACTGATCTCTTCAAATGGCCACTGTCCAGCCTTCTACAAGGTTGATCATGACGTGGGGAGGCGGCAGATCAGAAAATCATCAACATCACCAAAACTCCTTCTACTCCTTTTCCGTAAACACTTACAAGGAGATAAGTATCAGTCTCGACTCCCTCTATGCTCAAAACTTAAGAGGGACTTCTGTAGAGGAAGAAATCCCCGAATGAGGATTATGAAACTTGCAAATCAGTAGTGTCGGATCCTGGAACCAGAGAAGACCTACTCATCTCCCTTAATACACTTATTATTTATCATGTATTTACATCTAGATGCAATAAATGTACTGAAAAATATTCATAATAGACTGAATTCATTTGCTCAGCCAAATAGATTTCAAATACTCTTTAAATAGATTGTTTAACTTAAAAAAAAAACTACAGGGATAACCAGAAAACCGGCCAAGAGGAAGTTTTTGTGAGGTAAGATGTAAACAGCTGTATTCCTTATTCTAAAAATTGTGATATTAATGTGTATTTTCAAATATCAAAGAATCTCATAAAAATATGGAACGAACTGAACATGCAAACTTCTTCAAAATTAAATCCTCATAATTACTATGAAAACACATTTTTTTCTCTCTTACAAAATATATTCATTAATTTTACCTATTCTTGAAATTATCTTGAAAAGAAAGTTGTTGCATTTTATATTAAAATAGTATCTAACAACCAGCTCTGAAAGCCCCCGGTGCAAAATCAAATTCTAAACTGCAAAAGTTTTAAAACAATTTCATCAATGAAAGCAAAACAAACCATAAGAAAGACTTTCAGATTTTTTCCTTTCCAAAATGTTGTCTGAGATCGCATCTTTTGTATGGAAATTGCTAATATTGAACACTTGACATCGATATCAAGAATGGGCACTTTTAATTTGAGGATCAGTGCTCATAATCTCTCAATTAAAGTTATCCCTGCAGGGTATGCCCATTTTAATGTTTAATAAATATTGGGTAACAGAATATTCTGTAAACCTGCAGTACGTTGTATATTATTAACTATCTATGTTTGTAAACTTCTACGTAAAATCCATTATTTATTTGAACTGTGTTTCAAATAAATACGTAGCAAGATTAGCTTAATCCAGTCATATAGATAATGACGTACATCTTAACTACGCCTATTTCAACTGTGCTGTAATATGATTGCCTTAATAATGTGATATAAATAAACTTGTAACATATAAAACTTAAATACATTAGTTGATACAGAAACTCCGCTTTGATTACAGTGTAGAGTAGTTTGGTTTTTGTTGAAACACACAGGTTGCGATCGTGTCCTTTTTGACACATTGATCAATTGATTGCTAGTGTCCGTATTGACACCGTTAGCTAACAGGATAATGCCCTTTGGTTTGGCATTGATAGTTACACGCTTCCGATTGATGGGTTTAAACATTGAAACTGAACTGTACCTGGATAGATACTGGTTAATGAAATTGTTATGGCGTAGAGGTTTACTACAAATGGATATCGAAGAGAAATTAAATTAATCTGCATGATGGAGATCAATGCTTAATCCCGAGATTCACAACTTAAAAGTTCTAACTGCTTGGCTTTTTGTTTTTACAAAATGACCGGAAGAAGTAATATTTTCTTTCAATATTCAAATTGAGAATTGAGAGAATTTTAAAAAATTGTAAAATTAAAATCTACAAATCTTCTCCCCTTTTAAGATGAAAAATAAAAGATGAAATCGATTCAGCCCTTTATATATTGAGAGTTACTTGAAATTACAACATCAGTCTCTTTAATAAATATATCCACGATGGTTTAGAAAAGAGATTTTATGGTCTGGTCCTCCAGGACTCAGGAGTAACCCGTTCTTCATTCTCCGAACCTCGGAACAATTCTCCGGAGTCAGGCTTAGTCTCCGGAGTCAGGTTCAGTCTCCGGAGTCAGGTTCAGTCTCCGGAGTCTGATTAGTCTCAGAAAATCTGTCTTCATTCTAACATCATCTGTACAGAGCTGGCTTAAGTTTAGTTCATTCTTCAGGAGTCTAGTTTAGTCTCTACAGTTTGGTTTAGTTTCTAGAGTGTAGTTTAGTTTCTAGAGTCTAGTTTAATCTCTGGAGTCTAGTTTAGTCTCTGGAGTCTAGTTTAGTCTCTGAAGTCTAGTTTAGTCTCTGGAGTCTAGTTTAGTCTCTGGAGTCTAGTTTAGTCTCTGAAGTCTAGTTTAGTCTCTGGAGTCTAGTTTGATCTCTGAAGTCTAGTTTAATATCTGGAGTCTAGTTTAGTCTCTACAGTTTAGTTTAGTTTCTAGAATGTAATTTAGTTTCTAGAGTCTAGTTTAATCTCTGGAGTCTAGTTTAGTCTCTGGAGTCTAGTTTAGTCTCTGGAGTCTTGTTTAGTCTCTGAAGTCTAAGTAACTCTCGAGAGTCTAATTTAGTCTCTGCAGTCTAGTTTAGTCTCTGCAGTCTAGTTTACTCTCTGGGGTCTAGTTTAGTCTCTGGAGTCTAGTTTAGTCTCTGGAGTTTAGTTTAGTCTCTGGAGTCTAGTTTAGTCTCTGGAGTCTAGTTTAGTCTCTGAAGTCTAGTTAAATCTCTGGAGTCTAGTTTAGCTTTTGGAGTCTAGTTTAATCTCTGGAGTCCAGTTTAGTCTCTGGAGTCTAGTTTAATCTCTGGATTCTAATTTAGTCTCTGGGAACTAGTTCAGTCTCTAGAGTCTAGTTTAATCTCTGGAGTCTAGTTTAATCTCTGGAGTCTAGTTTAGCTTTTGGAGTCTAGTTTAATCTCTGGAGTCTAGTTTAGTCTCTGGAGTCTAGTTTAATCTCTGGATTCTAATTTAGTCTCTGGGAACTAGTTCAGTCTCTAGAGTCTAGTTTAATCTCTAGAGTCTAGTTTAATCTCTGGAGTCTAGTTTAATCTCTGGAGTCTAATTTAATTTCTGGAGTCTAGTTCGGTCTCTGGAGTCTAGTTTAGTCTCTGGAGTCTAGTTTAGTTTAGTCTCTGGAGTCTAGTTTAGTCTTTAAGGTCTTGTTAAGCTTCTGAGCTTTGTAAATGTTTTTTTCATGTAGGCCGATTAATTCCATCCCCAAGAGATAAAGAGCTGTCATTCAGAGTAGGATTGACCAAATCCGATAAGAAGATCAGATACCCTAGAGACATTTTATAATGATCGAATAATAATTCAGAAACAAGTGTTTGGTTTTTTATACATATTTATAAAATCACATTAAAAATTATATTAAAAAAAAATAAATTCTTTTTATAGACTTTATACATTTGCTACTGCATAAGCTCATGGTGATTGGATGAAATCATTTTGTGTTAATCTATTATCAGTCTTTCTCGTAGCAACCAAATTATGAGAAAACACAATTGGTTTGGTAGTTCACACAAAAAAAGACATAATTACAAACAAAATATCTCAGAGCTAATTAATTTCCAAAGATTTTTTTTAATTATGGCCTCTTTATAACCCTATAGTTTTAGAACATTTTTATGTAATTTTAAAACCTTTCATGATACTTGGAAAAGGGCTTCAGTACAAAAGGTATAATTATAAGAATAATCATAAGGTAGAACGAAAAAAGGTAGAACATACAAAAGGTAGAACATACAAAAGGTAGAACATACTAAAGGTAGAACATACAAAAGGTAGAAAATACAAAAAGTAGATGAAAAGGAAGAATTACAGAAGGTAGAACGTTCAATTCATTTATTAAAATTTCAATTTAAGAAATCCAGATAAAAAAAATTAGATTCATCTAAATGTTGCGAAAATTTAAAATTTCTAAAAAACGAATAAATCTTCATTTAAAACTAGCTTCAACATTAATTTAAATCCTCACTCCCTCCCACCGTGGGTCAAATGTTTAAAAGTGTACACCGTACATTATATGTACACTGTACAGTGTACAATTTGTACAGTGTTTACATGCTGTTTACTAAAATCTATGTCACCGAAAAAAAAAACCTGTAAATAAAAACTTTGGTAAAAAAGTACCAATTTTCTTAAGTCCTTAAAATGTCACTGGAAAAAAGTCCTTAGTTTTAGATTTCTGGGAATTTTTTTTTAAATATTATCGGTTCATTATCCGTCTATTTTTTTCTTTTTTTCACTGAACGTTTGTTTTCCATTTCTCTGAACGATATAAGTCGTTCGTCCATCATTAGTATTTTTTTTCACCATCTTTCACAAAAATTTCGTCCGATGTCCATTTCTAAATACATTGTGTACTGAAAGTATAAATGCCCTGGATTTTGAAATTCCCTTTTTTAATTAAAAATTTATTCAAGAGAGTGTGGCGGCGTAGTGGCGGAAGACGAAGTTCTGGAGGAGTTTAAAACCGAATATCAAGACGCGGCAAGTTGAGCAATTTCCGGCCACGTCATCTATCTATCTTTTACTTTTCATATAAATTTCAGTATTTTAAGTTAGTAATAAAGTAATTATTTAAACCGGTGTTTATTAACTTGAGCGTAGCTAAATTGGTGACCCCTAGTTCGAAATAGACTGTTATAGCTACACGCTCACAAGTGATTAAAATGCCTAAAGACGGTGACAGCGTCCAGGCTCCAGCTGAACCCAGCTCGCTGGATTTGTTAAATTCCGTCTCAGTTAAAGTTCCAGCCTTTTGGCCTGATTCTGCGGAGGCCTGGTTCGTGCAGGTGGAGGCTCAGTTCGCCCTCAAGGGGGTAACCGCCAGTTCCACCAAGTTTTACTACTGCGTGTCTGCGTTCAACCAGGAGACGGCTAACCAGGTCCTAGATCTCATCAAGAATCCTCCATCTCTCGACCCCTACGAAGCTTTGAAGTCCCGGTTGTTAAGGTTGTTTGCTCTCGACGATTATCAAAGGTATGAAGCAATCTCTAACCTCCCTCTCTCCGGCGACATGAAACCTTCAAAGCTAATTTGTTCTTTAATATAAATTAATAACTAAACAATTACCATTTTCTGTTCTTTCTTATATTTACCGTTTGTTGAGGATCTCATTCCGAAATCAGATAACAATTATTTCAAGTAAAAAAGTTAAATAAAAACACCATAAACATCAAAACATGTAAAAAAAATTATAAACACATCAATATGTTTTATCTTCTGTAAGTTTCATGCAATTTTAGGTAGAAAAATTAACAAAAGTTGCCGTTTTTTTATTTTGGTTGATTTTTTCATTAATGATTTCAAAAATAACAGTTTTTCACCTTTTGTTCTTCCATTCATTTAATAAAACTTGCTGTTCATTAATAGAACATTATCCAGCCCTGGTCATAAGTCTTACTAACCTTGTGATAAACCAGACAAACCATATATCTATCAAGATCAGCCCAGAGGTGGTTGGAACACTCGACTGAAATGATAGTCCAGACAGTAAAACTTTTGTTTGGGTTATTGCAAAGCGGCAGCCTTCAGTGACTGAACTCAATATCCAGAGTGGGCAATGGGCAAACTTTTAAGTTATGGCATTAACTGCTCTTATTGCAGAAAGGTATCATTGCTGACACCATTGTGGTATCCTGTGGCTAATGTTTTGTAGCCATCAACATGAAAGGTAGTTGGCAGAGTCTTGTCAGATTTAAGGCACAACAGTTTCACCCTTAAGTACCCATCATAATGTTACCATGGAATCAGCCTAGTATAGCAACTCGGAATGGGGATCCTGGATAGAATGTAAGGTCTACTGACCCAGCGTGTACAGTGCGTGATAAGCCCATGAAAAATTGCTCGACTGGGTTTGTGCATCTAGAATACAGATAATGGAGTAAGGCCAAGTTTGTTGCTCGTGCAAGGAGAGGATGAAGAAATTCGCAAACTCCCCACAGTGACAGGATGGACATTGGACAATCTAAGAAACAGTCAGTATTGGAGCTGTGGGAAAAACAATACATGTTGCAGGGGAAGATATGTTGCCGGTGTAGCGTTACATTCAGACCGGGGTAATATTTGGCCCGGGTGCAATACAAAGTAAACAAACACATTTAAAATTTTAGTCTGCAAAAGAGTTGAAAACATGCATATGTGGCGGCGTAGTGGCGGAAGACGAAGTTCTGGAGGAGTTTAAAACCGAATATCAAGACGCGGCAGGTTGAGCAGTTTCCGGCCACGTCATCTATCTATCTTTTACCTTTCTATAAATTTCAGTATTTTAAAGTAGTAATAAAGTAATTATTTAAACAGGTGTTTATTAACTTGAGCGTAGCTAAACATAAATAATGTACATAATGTGTGTGCTTCTAATTTTTTATTTTATGGCCTACCAATCAAAAAACTGTAACAATTTCAATAACAATGTTAATGTGCATGCTTTGCAGGTCCGTCAAAGTAAACAACTTTCCCCCATTCTATCAATTTTGTACATAAACAGTGGTGATTTACTAATATACAATTTTTTGACCCCCCCTTTCCTTCCCTTACCAATTTTGTACATGGATTTCACATGTATAACACTCACCCAGACCAAATATAACGCCCGGGCCTTATTTAACGTGACACCGGAGGAGATATGTTGCTAGAAGAGATATTTTGCCATGGAGGAGATATGCTGTTGGAAGTTACATGTTTACAAAGGAGATATGTTGCTGGAGGAGATGCCATGTTATTAAAGGTGTCTGGCCAAAGAAGGTATCTAACCCAAAGAAGATATCTAGCTAAAGGAAGTATCTAGCTAATGGAGGTATCTAGCCAAAGGAGAAAACCATAACTGAGTATAGGAAACCCAAACCTGTGACTCTGGATGGACTGTAGTAGCAGTATATCTGCATTGCTTTAGTTCTTTATTTCTTTCATTTTGTTTCTCTTGTAATATATGTTCATATACTTTGTTCTTTTATTGGTGTGAGACTTGAAGACTTCTAGAATATTGATATCCCCCTTTGGATGGTTCCTCTCATATTTATCTATTTAACAACAACTTCCATTAAAAAATGTCAAAACAATACAGTCAATGATTAAAACGATTAAAGCACTGTAAACAACAGTTCATTTGAAGTACCAGACTGAATTTGAGAAAGCTAGGGCAAGTTGCACAGTAAATAAACAGACTGCAGACAGCTATAATTTTACAGAACACCAAATGAAGCATCTCCCTCCTGTGTGTTTATTGTGAAAAATATGCTGAGTTTAGTTAGAACTCTCTCAGTTGTCAACACTTTAGGGGTTTCAACAAAAAAAAAGATGTATCTACTTCTTAAATTTATTTTATTACCTGGACATATGCCAGAAGTGATACTAGAACTAGAAGCACAGTGATGCCACCCATGATGCGTTCATTAAAATTCTCCAACTTCATAAATATGATTTAATAACTAGATTACTTAAAAATGTTAGTTGACATTTCATACTCTAAACACACATAGGGTTAATAAACCCCCACGATCTTATAAATTTGTAGGTAACATGGACTACTACAGCGATAAAGTAAACCCATAGCCATCGCATATGTCATACATACTATAGTGGGCAGCAAAAATTGGCTGAAATATTTAAAAACTTCTTAATATAACATTATGTGATAGAAATCCAGCATTTTTTTACCCTTATAAAGAGAGTGAAAAATGCCAGGAGCCAAAGAAGGAATGTTTGAAAGAAGATCGAGACCAAAAACTCAGAGTACAATCTATCCAGTTCAATTGAGAAGATGAATTTAGAATCCATGCCCACAATATCTGAGGTCCAGCTAAATAAACATGGTTATTATAAAGAGTTACCAACTAGTTTGAACAATATTATTGTTTCCTACTTGAGCATTCCAACTCTGAAAAGTCGGAGATTTTCAGGACCTTTATATGTAACAGCAGCATCTGAATCTGACACTAGTTGGACTGTGTTTGAGTCCCCCAACCTTAAATACAACTTTAGCAATACTCTTGCATATTTAGAACTTACAAAAACTTACCTTAACATAATTGAAACATTGCACATCTGCCTGTCAAATGGAAACATGAAGACCTCCATGTTACAGAAGAATGTACCCTGATAAATCATAATAAGCTAACAATATAAACTCACACAGGGGTCATGACATTTGGAGATAATTTTTAGGACCAAAAAAGTGTAATTGTTCTACATTTAAGAAAAGGAAATCTTTGAATGCTAGATTGAGATTTCAACTGATTCAATTGGTTCTTGAATCTACAATTATAAGTTTGTTATGTCCTTTATGATGCACATGTGCACAAAAAATGGCTTTCCTTTAAAAAAAATTCAGAAATGATTTCGAAATGTAAGAGAATTTGAAATCATAATCCACAGAAATAATCTCTATTACGTCATTTTCACTTCTCCCACTTGTGTGAAAACTTCAAAGAAATTACCTGAAACCTCTTTTGCAATTTCAAAAGAACATTATTTCCATGAAATGTTATGATTTCAACAGCATTTGTAATTGATGCCTTCTCTTCCAAACCTGTTGGGATAGCTTTCAGCTCAGTTATTTCTCCAACCACTGTAGTTCCCAATATCACGTTTTCCAAGTAAATATTAGGCTGCCAGATATTGGCCTTAGAGCTATCTACAATTAATCAAATTTGAACTGACTACTCCATGTTTATTAAATTCAAGATTATGAGATTCAAGAATATTATTACTCTAGGTTCATGAGATTGGGAATATGTATACATTAGATTTGAGAGATTCCAGATTATGTTTACTCCAAGTTAATTAAGCTAAACTATAGGTACAGGGAAAGTTTTTGTAATTGACCTTAGCTGTTTAATTGCTTTGTAGGAAAAAGGAGGACAGTTTGATCTGTAATGCACTGATATCATTAAAAAATGTTATTTCATCTAGAAAGGGCAATAACAGCACAAAGAACAAGGTTCATGAGAATGGTTGTTAGCTAGATGTGAGTTCAACTTAACTGGCATAATGGCAGTTTTTTATACCTGTAAAATTTAATATATTAATCAATACAATTAGACACATACCCTTTATATCATGGGTCTTATAAGGTGTAAGACCTTTAAATAAAAGTCTTGGATCCTTCCAAGATATTTTCAAATCCATTGTCAGGGTCATGGTCATTTTCAAACTATCAATATTGTCGAACTGAATAATATCTACAGCTATAAACATCGAGTTATTCATAATTTCTGCATTGGGAGGTTCATAAATTGAATATATCTTATCAGTGAATATACGCATACAATCATCTTCATCAGAACCATCATCACAATCCAAATGGTTATTGCAATACTTATCAATATCAATACATTGCCCTGAATTGCAAGTAAAGCTATGTTTCATATTACAAGCTGAAAAAGTGAGCAAAATTTCTTCTCTAGATAATTTACATTCCTCAGAAGTTCCAAGCCAAGTCTTTCTTCCGAGTGGATTATGATCATCTTTGATGGTCCATACAATTTCCTCTCCTCTTTCATTTAACAACTTCCATCCATGTTCACTTCTAGTGATAGAGCTTCCTTTATATCCAAGATACTGAATTCTATTTTCATCAGAGTCTATGTAGTAGTTATAGGATTGCATGAAGTTAAGACAAAATCCTTTTAATGTAAATACAGGTTCATGGTAAAATGCACAAGCAAAACATTTGCTTAGGAAGTCACAGCTGTCACTTCTTTTACTGCCCCACATTCCATCCAGTCCAACAAATCCGCATGTATCACCTTCCTTGAGTTTTAACCAATTATTGAATGTGTTGTTGGTCCCTGTTATTATTTTCTTGTCCCATTTAGCCAAAATATTGATCCAGGATTCCTTTGAACAGCTTGACTTGGATTTATGAGTCATCTCTACAAGCCAGTTATTTTTGGACCTTGAAAAAGGTGTAAATATATACCCTTGGTGGATCCTACAATAGTTTTCAGCATCATTGTAATTCATTGAATCTGGTATGAATATTAACTTTTCGAAGGGGGCACAAAATTCATCCACACTTGTCAACACAGGGTAAATGCCATGAAATATGATATATTCTTTTTCCCAAGTCACAATGTTCCCTTTAAGTGCTGATTTACATTTTGACATTTCAGTGATAGTGTCTGTTGATAGGGTGTAGTTCCAAATATTAAATTCAGACATTTTCCCTCGCATTGATTGATTAGGATCAAAGTCTCCGTTAAGTGAATCAGGTTCCTGACCAATTATCATTGAATATTCAGCAGATTTGTTAATTGCTATACTTGTAAAAGGTGAGGTAGAAGTATATTCTGAACTAAGGTTTCCGTTGATGAATGCTTTACTTGTGGTTCCGTTATTCAGCCAACAAATGTGAATCCATTCACGATGAAGCATTGTACTAGGTAAAAAGTTTTTTTTGTTGGAAAATAATGGAGAAACTTTATAAAACCCATTTTTACATCAGCTTTTTTTTCTGATGGGGGGGGGGAGGATTAAATGTCTGAAAGCATACCGTTTGACTACACTTTTGATATTGATATTGCAATTCAAAAACACAACTTGCATAAAATGATTTTATGCAGTTTACACCAAGAAAAAATTTGCACAATTTACATGTAAAGAGTTTTGAAAATAAATTTCAGAGGGATTGGTCCTTAACTTTTATGCAGAAATGTAATGAACATATGTTCAAAATAATAGGCTGTAACATGCTCTTAAAATTAGCCAATGGGCAGGTTATGATTATTTGCACAAAGTTCCACATAGGGTTTCCAACACAAGTGGATTGTGCTTGCATGCAATTGCGAGCCCTTCCACGCAAGTGAATTTAATTAAGCTTAATTCCATAATAAATGTGCACAATAAACGCAACAGAATTGCACGCACGAAATTCCGTCAAACTTTCTTGAGTTTGTGTTTAAATTTTTTAATAATATTCAATTTAAACCTTATGAATTGCAATAATTGCAATTAATTATTGCGCAATTCCCCTCAACAACAAAAGAATTCAATTTAAACTTTATAAACTGAACTTCACTAACATTTCAATCTCAAATGCTAGCAAAATTGAATGTAAACTTAATCTTTTGTTTTATAATATTTATATGCAGCATTATAACCTGAAAACACTCTGGCATAAGAAGACAACATTTTTGACCCAAGCAGACCCATTTAACTGAATAAGTGATTTAATAAGTTATGAATTAAAATTTGTTGCTTTATTACGACATCATATACACTGTAATGGTGTCTTCCTGTACCATAGTTTTCTGGTTCTCACTGTAGCAAAATGTATAATTTTGATTAAACAAACAGCTAACAATTTTAACCAAAAAAAGTTTCCATTTAAATGTTCATCCAATGTGAACAAATAAAAAATGTAAATTAGAAGCTTAACCACAAGAAGCTTTAAAATTTGAAAACTGTTGAAACAAGTGACTCTCGGGGGCCTCGATTATTTTAAATTCTTTTATCTGCTGCATAAATTTGTAAGTCACAGTTAAAATTTTTACAATTTTTAGATGGAAAAGCAATTTCGTTGCACACAATTCCACGAGTATTTATGTACTTCTTTGTTTGCAATTATATCGCAATTCCACACAATGAAATGGCATAAGTGGAACCAATCATTGTGTGCAATTCCACGAAACAGAATTCTGATTGGGAACCCTAGTTCCACAACATGTTAAGCCATTCTGTGCAAATTTGGGGAAATTTGCTTTGGGGGAAACCCAATTTATACCTTCCTAAAACAGTCCGGTTATAGTGTGTGTCATTTATTGAAACCCATGCATTAAACAAAACTGTAGTTCCGTCATTTTCATTCTCTGTATCTGTTTTTACGTAGAGCTGAACCAAGTTGCCAATTTCCATGGTGCTAAAACTCCAAAGAGCACTGAAAGAATAGTATTTATAGCTATGACATTTGTTTATTTATAGAAGAAGAGTCACACTTCCAAAAAAGAATTCTTAGGTGACCATAGTCATTGAGAGATCTGTTCCGAGTTAAATTATTTACATATGTTCAGCCATAAGCATGTTTTAAGATCACAAAAGAATTAAAGCAACCTGTGATCATTTCTATTTTCTCTGAACAATTTATTGGCTGTAACATGATTTTAAATCTACGATCTGATTTTTGTTATAATTTAACCTGAAAGAGTATCCTTGAAATGTGAAATAAACCCAAGCACAAATAGAGAATTGCTCAAGACTCATGTCATTCCAGTCTCCAGACCTTGGTCTAATCTCCAACCACTCAGATGTACCCGTATCATTTTCCTAAAAGTATCCAACAGAATTTTTTTAGCTAGTTCTTCTTATCTAGCACTGCTGGACCATCATTATTTCTGGATCAAATACAAATACAAGATGGTAATGTTTGACGTAGTTTGCAGCATTCAACTAAAGGTAGCCTGTGTCCAAATTTAATGAATTTAAGCCGTGTTTCAATCGAGCGCCGGCTTAAATCTTGAAATATTTAATACTATTTTAAATGGAACCAGCCATATTTCAGCTGCGGCTTAAATTTAAACCGCTGCTCAAATTCTTTCAATTCGGCCTCTGATTTAGCAATATTCTTTTATGAAAGAACAATCACTGTCCTGCCATTTCTTAAATGTGGTCTGTCATTTTTGAGCTTTCATAATTACTTTAGATATGAATGATTTCATTCAGAATGATACATTTTCATGGTTTTACTGAATAAATTGGAATTTAAACAAAATTATTAATATCTCTAGTATTTTTTAGAGCAAAAAATGGCAGATCACATTTTGGAAATGGCAAGATTAGGGCTATTTTGTGTGATAATTGTTTTATTAAAAAATATGGCTAAAATCCGGTTACATGTATTGAATGCCGCAAGCTATTTCTAAGGTTAAAGACGACTTTGGAGTTATCAATCAATTACATTATTCTGGGTTTTTTTAGAATATGACTGTAGTTGCTTATATCCAAGAAACAAATTATCAACACAATCTGGAAAATAAATATCTTCCCAGAATCAGAGAGGCTTATTTTTGTGAAAATACCCATAATCCTGATTCCTTGATCTCGATAATCGATATCCACTTTTGATTTTTATTCAGAATCTGTTTAATCTCTTGATTGTGTATACCCGCTGTTGGTTGAACCAGGGCCGTAGCTAGGAATTTATAAACAGGGGCACACAAAAGCAAAAAATAGCATAAGTAAATATGGAAGAAGCTCGCCGCAGCCAAAAAATTTTTTTACCTAAAAAAACTTAAAAGGGTAAAAATAAATGAGCTAAGAATTAAAAAACAAGATTATTAATATACAATTAAACAATTAATCTAAGAAAAGATGGAAAAAGGATAATTGCTTCTCGAAGTACAAAAATTTATTTAAACTATAATTATTTCACAAGACAGGATTAAAATAAAATATCCCAAATAATTTATGTCAGCACTCAATTTTTCTCTAATTTGAAGAAAAATTATCCTTTACACATAATATTAAAAACAAAAATTAGATTTTATTCCAATTTTCTCCCTTTTTTCTTCTTTCTTTCGTTTTTTGTTTCCTTCTTTTCATTTTTTCATTTTCTTTTTTTTTTGGTCTTAGAAAGTGTGCCCTCCCCATGGTGCCCCCCCCCCCTTCGGGGCTAAAAGGGGGGGCCATGTGCAATTTTTACTAATTTTGAAATTTTGTTCACAAAAAAAATGTAAATTTGCAGATAACCTGAATCGAGACAAGAAATGTTTCTTGACAACAAACATGATAAAGACCTGCCAGCAGCAACAGAACCTTGAAGTTCATCTTAAAACAAAAATGTATTTTAATAAAATTGTTATTTTTTTTAATGAAAGCTCAGAAAGAAAACCTCCATGCAAAGATGATACAAAACGGTTCCCTTAAAAGCTTTGTCTGATCAAGTATGAATTATCAATGTTTACAATTTTGGGAAGTATTTATTTACAATTTTGGATTCTCCACTGAAGAGAATTGTGTAAAATGATTTAGGAAAAAATTATTATAATTATATATATTATAATTTGGCTTAACAGGTGTCATAGTTTGAAATATCTGAAGTCAATGACCTTGGGTTGCAAAGAAATTGAGATAAAAAAAAAGTTTGTGGCAAAGACTCAATTGCTTTTTGCTACACCTTGTATTCCCTTATTATCAGATTCAATGCTTTACTGTTTATAGTAGACATTTAAGAACTAAACGTCAAAAAAATCAGGCTAATTAACACGGTGTATTTTGACAATTTATTATCAACAAAAAAGGGCAGCTTTGAATAAAAGCTACAGTGGTTGTTGTATATTTTGATATAATAAAGACGACATTAGATTTTGATATGATAAAGACGAAATTAGATTTTAATATAATAAAGACGAAATTAGATTTTAATATGATAAAGACGAAATTAGATTTTAATATAATAAAGACGACATTAGATTTTAATATAATAAAGACAACATTAGATTTTAATATAATAAAGACAA